CACCACACAACGTTGTTCCCGGAGATGTATCTGATCAATCTCTCTTGCAACGCCGTCGTCAAAAGCACGCTTCTGTCTTCCAGGACAAACTTGGTTGCTGCAAACTGTTTGGCATCCAGCATATTCGTAGCCCCCCGTATCATCCCCAATCGAATGGACAGACTGAACGTTTCGTCGACACCCTTAAGCGTGCTTATGCAAAAGCGAAGGGGGAGGGAACAACAGAAAAATTTTGGATAAATTCTTGCTGCATTATCGTACGAATGAAAAAGGACAGTTATGTGTCAGACACACAGATCACGCTCTATCCAGTACCACGCAAAGGTCAACTCGACAAAGAAGAGCTCCGAAACCTTTTCAAATAGATCCAAAAAGCAAGTCCTACACTCTTTACGGGGGGAGGTGATAGGATCCCACATATTTTGGTATTGACTGTTTAAACTTGCATATATGGTATGTTATCATTCTCACACATTTTGGTATTGACTGCTAATTTTGTATATTATCATTCTCACGCATTTTGGTAGTGACTGCTAATTTTGTATATATGGTATATTATCATTCCCACACATTTTGTTACTGACTGTCAATGTCGCACATATGGCATATTATCATTTCTCACACACTTTGTTATTGGCTATTAAGGTCAATTATTTCAAATGCTGTTAGCTGTCCATATTGTTGTAAAATGTATAAATACCATGGCTTTCTTTATCGTTGTTGCACTTCAATACACAGTCACAGTCCAGCCTTTGTCTTTTGATATTTGCGTGCTTTACTAAGTCGGAAGGTACGACGAGCAGATAGGCAGATTAGTTCAGGCGCAGACAGAGCAAGGTGAAAACGTCATCATTTCAATTCACTACAGTTATAACAAACTCACCATAGAGGAGTCATTGTGGCTGCGGTAATTGAGGATTTGACTTCCACCTCACTTTCACTTCAGCAAACCACCGTCCTGACTTGAAGGGAATACTAACTTGTTACGTGCTTCCTGGACTCAATCCGGGAATTTATAAGAGAAGACTCAGTATAGAAGAGACTGAAGGATCACAGTGGTGATATCCTAGAGAGAAATGTGTCATATCTTTTACGTGTTTTGACATTCGTGTGATGATGAAAACTGAGAGTATCACGGAACAAAACGGGTAACGGAAACTACCTATTTTATTTGGAAACAGCTTGCGAAATGTTTGACTGAAATCCAATTTTTCAATCAATATTCTCAGCGAAAATGCTTTCACTGTCGAAGTTGTTACGCCATGTGATTCATGTACCCTTACGAAAATTCCGTCGGAGTAGATTTGACATATTCTTACTGAGTACACACTGTTGTGATAAGTTTTCAACTCTGCCGTTGAAAATTTGTCTTCAAGTGTTTTGCTATCAGCTGAATGTTTGACTACCACCCATCTTTGGTGCACATAGTGGTTTGGTTCGTGAGAAGGCAGGGGTTAGTTTCAAAAAGATGGTCGATGAATAACAGCAGACTAGCTTGCTTCTTCGGATGTAATCTAGTATCCCCCTTGCGCTGACACTGCTATTATTCATAGAGTATTTCGGCTGACATCCATGTTCTGCTTATCAGTATAGTGTTTCTGATACTTAATTGTCTCTATTGTCCACTGCGGGACACTTTTTACTTAAAACTTTCTCACTAATCTAGGTCTTCACTTGTGTCTTCGGCTTAACTCTGCTTATGTTGGTGAAGCGTGATGTCTGATGCATTGCAACTATCGAAGAAATGGTTGGATTTCAATATGTTGTACAATATTCGGATAGTGGTGTGAAAGAAAATGAATGACCAAATGCTCTGAAAATAGCTGTTCAAAAGCGAGTGGGTTGCACTGATCTTTGACAACTATTAGAACGAGGTTAATTTATACATGTAAGTGTTACGACCGAAAAGAAATCGTTCCGGTTTGCACGGAGGAAACCAATCCATGCGCCCTGCTGTATAGCTGTTCGAAACTTCTCTGAAACTCTCACGGTGATAAAACACTCAAAATATGGCGAAGTGATGGATATTCATCGACAGATGTATGTAGTTCTATACAACCACTCTGATATCAAATATCAAAGATACCTCAAGAGTACAGTAAGGCAAATATACACACATACAAAGAAATTTTCCAGATACAAAACGAGTACTGCAGGTCAAAATCAGTCAACCAAAATTCAACGTAATTTACTACCTGAGAATCAGGCACAATATTCCAAACAAGGTGGGATCAAACACTCTATCCACGAGAATCACACACCAACGCCGACCACACACAGTCCAATGTCAGAATCAACCCTGATTCACTCAAACAAAATCACGTCGTAAAACAACACATCATTGATGCATCTCAACAACTTCAAAGAGAAGTATTGAAATGTGAGATTGAACAAGGAAAAAGACAAATAATGAGTGTCAAGTGAACACACGATATGTGAATGTCAATATAGTGATTGATACACAATCTAGGAGTGAAACGGATAATAACTGTACAGTTACTTGGAGCATCCAGATGAGTATAAATATTTTGATTAGATAGTTCAAGGGGAGTTTCCAAATTTGCAATTCACTTTATTGATATTGAGTGGTTAGAGCCAGTATTTCAGTGAATTATCCTCAGATTCAATTTTCAGCTGCATGATTCTTTCAATGAATATTCCATTGTCTGTCACACTCACTCACATTCATTTGGCACAAATCGGCATAACTGCCCACTTTATAACCTTAGAAACACTTATGCATGATTCCTTGAGAGAATTTAGATCAGCATGGGGCGGTATTATGACTCGCTTTTCCTACATGACTTGTATATCAGAACCTCAACCCTAATGCAGATCGATGTTCATATCTGTGGATTTCTATCGGTACATGTTAACCAGTCACAACGTTGTTTCATACCTTGTAAATCAGTGATTAATTAGTTATGTAAAATAACTAACACAAGTAGTTGTAGTTCCCAGTGGTATTCCATTTTTACAAGAAAAAATAACTATTGATCTTCCACGTCATCTCTTGTCGTTATTTGGAATTGTATTACTCACTGAACAAATCACAGGAAACCAAACAACAGCAAAGTGAGGGTGATATCTGGGAATTTGTACTTGACAGGATTAATGTTTTTGTAATATTTTGATAAGAAATATTAACAAACAATAGTACGCATTGAAACAATGCAGTAATCGAAATTGTCCATCACAGCATCAGCCTTTTATGTTTTCTTGGTGTTGGAATAGTAGTCGATAATCATATATTTGCTTTAAATAAATAGTCAGTTGAGTTTGCTTATCGAAAGGAGCATTACTTTTAGTTTTAAAAATTTATATTATATATATATATATGCGCTCCGCACCACTGCATATTATTCAGCTTTTAATACCTCAGTGAAGCGTTCTCACTGTTATTTAAATATCCACTTAACATCCTTGGGTAACATGAAACGCATATTCTCTGCTACTAATTCTCCTCAGCAGAGAAGTCATAACACATAGAATTTAGGACATGCGTTTTTCTCAAGGAAACCTCTGATATGATACTTCGGTTTCGTCTGTACTCATTTTTCGCCTGTATATCACTCTATAGCCTGAGGATCAGTGGCACAATGAAAACGGGAGCTTTTGGATTGTTCTCCATCATGAAAACGGTTGTGGTCAAAAGCAAGGCATTATTTGTCGTTAGGTGTATAAAGTCGTGTATGCTTCGGTGACTGACATGTTATTTGAGCGATTACCATATTTTACAGAGTGTTGTATGTCTGTCAATGAAAATCACAATTCGTAATTCACACGGTTTGAGGTGAGATTTCACCACAGTTTCCTTTGAAACCAGAATTATTCAGATCAAAATATGTGGTCCACTTGAGTTGTGTACAACCATTCATCTCAGTCGATCATTGGTACACAATTGTACACATTTATGCCAGTTACCTTGACTACTACCCATGATATCAAGTAGATCACATACGTTAATCTGAATAATTTTCGTTTCCAAATTGAACTGTGAAGAGATCTCACCTCAAATTGTTTAAATTGCATATAACTCTCTGCAAATTGTGAATTTGGTTTATGAGACAGCCAGTTCTTCCAAGTTCCTAGTCACAAATGAGGGAGTCTGAAGTGATTCTTCACTCTGAGCTCATTCAAACTGGATACTCCACTGATAAGCTCGACCTGAAACGAGCGAAGTGACAATCCGTTGTTTCGACCCCTTCGATCTGCTTAGCAAGTACTACTGGTTGATGTGAGTAGCATACAACTACTTATCTCAACCAACCGGTGATATATAGTTCTATGTTGCGTGTCTGCTTCACAGTTGTCTCCTAGGTTCGAATGTTGTCAGAATCTCACGAAACCCGATGAAGAGAAACTCTCAGTATTATACCATTACGGTACGAGACTACAATTTAGGTGCAATATAAATAGGACAAGTGTAAAGTGAATATATATTAGTCGAACGAACTACTTGGTCACTTCCAAATGTTACAGGCTTTGTGTTCAAAGATTTTCAAAGTCTTGAAGATGGTCAGAGGTATATGATTACCAGCTATGCCGTAAAGTGTCTGAAACCATTGATTCTTAGCATTGTGTGATTGCTAATCAAGAAAGATTAATCTACTGACGTCACTGCGACCAAAAGTCACTCACTTCATGGATTGATGTTGTCATTCGCTCTGTCCACGGCGGAGTGTTTTGAAAGGTAGTGCAGCGACATTGCTTGTAAAGGAAGGAGATGACTCTGTATGTGTAAACACATATTCACGACACCTCACCGCGTGCTGCTTCACAACTTTAGTGACTGATTTACTTCTCTTTCGTATCACCTTACTCTCAGTCTCACCATTTCTTACCGATGTGTTCTATGTAACGCGTATAATTAGAATCGCAAGTTGACGCAGTAAAATGTATGCCAACTAATTGATTTTTAGTGTGTTTTATTAAATTAGGATCGTGCTCATTAGAGAAGAAGAAAACGCTTTCAGCATACGCTTTGTATTTTGTTTTACTCATATATCATAATGACCAGGCATCGGGAAGCTCAAAGCTAAATCTGATACTGACTGACGTAGTTGTTGGATTCGAAATCTCAGATGTGGACTTTCTTTGACGGCCATTGAAAATTTTTGAATGTCATCTATTTGAAAAAGGGAAATGACAGGGATGAAAATAAACAGCGAAAGCTAAATGCTTATTTCATGCTAATACTTACTAATGTCATCTTGAGATTTTGAACAAGTTTTGTCGTAACGTAAATATTTCCGTTTGTTCAGTTATGTAAACATTACTGTGCCACTGAACGATGGAAGCCATTCTGCGTAAAATGTACACTGGCAAGTTATTGTAGTTTGCAAGTGTAAAACTAAGAGTTGTCAAGATGTGATAGACTAATTCATCGTTGTGTTGGCTGTGTACATGTTTGTGTCGATTGATTGAATCAACACCATTAATTCTTTGACGAGATGACGTCACCACTGGAAGTATCGTTGTTTGGGACTCTTCTGGATAACGCACACACGATCCCACCAGGAATCGGTCCCATTTGATTGTGAGGACACATGCGTGACGATGATGTTGGTGGGCGGCCACACTGTGCATCGCGAAGTGGCAGAAGTGAGAATCCCTGCGTCACCACATTCCATCTCAGGGGTTGGATGGTCGCCTAGTTTTCAGTGCTTCGTCAACTTTAGTCAGTTCATGATCAAGCTTGAGACTAGTCAAATCTCTTCGAAGCAACACTTGACAATCTATATCCCTGAGTATGACATTCTGTTTTGAAAGTCTAACTCCACGATTTCAGTCCACTTACTATGAATATTTATTACTATTTCCTTGGGTTCCCAGTGAAACATAGGGCTTCAACAACCCATCTCCACTCTGTCCTATTTTCTGCAATCCTCGTCATCTGGATCCACGATTACCGATAATCTCTCATCTCCCCCTCGCACGATCTCCTCCATGTCATTCTCGCTACAACGACCCATTCATCGCTTCCAATTCGGATTCCACTCGAGCAATGGCTTTCATTGGGCGCCTCCCTAATATATGTCCAATCTATCTGTATTTCCTCCTGCATATCTGTTCAGCAATCGACTGTCACTTGGTCAGTTGCCATTCAGAGTTTCTGGTTGCTAATTCCTTCTGACCAGTCATTTGATCGTCAGTATGGAGTCAGTGAAGGCAGCTATTGATAAAGGTCTGTAATTTGTTGGAAATCATTTTACTATGATTATTTATATCATCCTCGGTGAAAATAGACAGCCAGCCTAGTCTTACTCCTGTATGCACTTCAGACACCTCGCTGAGCCTTCTGTTGTGGATCACCTGATACGTGGCATTGTCACATAGTCAGCCTTTGAATGAGGTTGATAACGACTTAGGCACTGCACATAGTAGTGTTTAAGTAGTTTCCGAATTACTTCTCGGTCAACGCTGTCTGTCGAAGGCCTTTTCGAATCCTATGGATGAAGTTGAGATACAGATTTGAGTAGCATTCTAGGCTTTGTTCTGTGATGACGATGCGTAGTGTTACAAGTTGATCAGCACATGACTTGCCTTTTCTGCATCCATCTTGTTTCGGACGAAGTTCTGTATCCAGTGCATCTTTTATTTTCTCCAGGATGACACGACTTAGTATTTTGTTTGTAGCACTGTGCGTAGCATTGGATAATTGTAACCTTCCTTCCTTCGTTCTGAGTTGAATCTTGCTGTCATGATCCTGCAGGATGAAATAGGTTCCCACTGAATTAGAGCTTTAGCTTACACTGGTGACATCATGATAGCCACTCGCTGCCTCAGTGCCCTCGTGGTTGTCATCTGGGTGACAAGTGAGGAGTAGATAACTGACTCTCCAGTTGATAATTTCGACAGTCCACATCCAGCCTATCTGCTCTCTCAGATTTCCAACACTTCTATACCATATCTTCTGATTTCTTCGACTACTTGTTCAGTCTTCTCAGTCTCGTACATTGTACGAATATTCCACATCTCAATTTACTGAATGCTCTAGCTCTCCACAATGATTTCAGAGTAATGAGCACATATCCTGACTTCTCGATTCTAAACGGCTGGCTTTCGCATCGTGATCCAGGCCTCCTGTAGTTGGAATTGTGCTGTCTATCCACATAAAATATAGAGGGACGAGTTCTCGAATTCGACCACTGATCGTATTTCGCCTACTGCGTCTAGTGTGTACTTGTTGGTTTCTTTTTATGAATTTCCTCGTTGTTAAGAAACCGGAGGATTTCAGATATTTCATGTTAATTTCACTCTCCAACCTGACTCAGTCAAATCACTTTGAGTGGTGAAACGCATCAAGACGCGTTTGTGTTTACTTGACAATGACAGGAACCAGAAGACTGTTCAATTTTTGCTCGACAACGACAGTGATCGTGACTCATTTTCGGATTAGTTAAGTTATCTCAGTCTGAAGGTGATACACAACAACATACTCCATTATGGAATGCAGGTTGATACCATTATACAGTACATTCAAACTAAATTTCACGAGCATTTCAAGTAAGATTTCGTGACTGTCGTGTAAATGTCTGCGATTTCGTATTCATATATCGTAAGCAGGCAGCTGTATTGCTCAGAGATGAGCGATTATTCAGAAAAAGTCACATGATCAGACTTAAGCTGATGTGCAAGCATATTTGATAGAACAATATAGGACGAACATTTCCAAATCTCAGTAGGTTCATCATGTATCCATTCTCTTGTGATTGGTTTCCATAACTGTTATATACACCACTAAGCAGGTGGTCAGTGGCTTGTCGGTCGGAGCAAAGCACTTTAATCACTTCTTGCTTAAACACATTCTACAGTGACTTATTTTTAGGTTCCATATGGCTGTCATACATTCGTTTTGCAACCTTCCATTCTTCACCAACGCATCCATCAAAATGAAGGTAGAATTGCCGAAAAGCTGTCGGGTGTTTGTGGCTTCACACACGTCATTGCTGCATGCAATGCTTTGGAAATGATGTCTCTCTACACTGGACATTATGTCGTCAGCGTTAAATTCAATTTCAGATGAATTGTTCGTTATTATTCAGTGTATAAATAAAAAATGGCCAATTTGCTTTATTTATGGCAAGCGCGCATTTTGATTTGAAAGTAGTTCAAGCTACTCAAATAATCGCAAGTAGTCACACATTAGTCTGATCCAATGAGTTCAGGTGTACACTGAAATAGCAAGATCTGAGATCAAAGACAAGCCTCTTATTAATTAAACAAGTAGCGCGGAAAAATGTGAGGACTAATGATGTCACTCTCACCGGCAATGAAACATTAAAGCTGCGTGCACTTGTTGGTATGCGAGCAAAAAGAGAATGGCCTATCTCCGTCTCATCAGACAATGCCGACGAGGTCATCGAGAAGCGTGTCACCTAGTCTGACTTTCCTCCCACGTTTCAAATGGTATTCGAAATGAACAAACAAACTTGTAAATAATTTCACTCAATTTAGTCAGTTTCACTGGGACTCGAATCACCCTCTCATATCTTACTCTACCTAGTGTTGCACATTGGAAGTACGAAGGCTGTGTGGATTCGCATAGTTTGATGAGAGTTATGATAGTTGTAGTAAATGCACAACTCAGAAGACATCAGTCTCATCGGATATTCATGAGCATGTTCATTGGTATAAGTTCAACGCTAGATGTCGTAATTAATCGACATAAACGCTCCTAATGTCATTGCAATGCATGATCTATTTGTTCATAGCGTCCCTGTTCAAACAGGTGAGCATTGATGAAACCGGCTTGTTTCACCACACTGAACACGTGTTCTCCCAACAAAAGTCACCTGACGAACCCATATCACTCCATGAGGATAGATATACACCACTGACGCTGGTTTGCACAAGTGTTATGTGCGAGAATCAGTCAAAGCTAAACTATTGGATTTCCACCCAGTGATTGAATGGTGACGCGGTCTCAGCTCAACACAAAAGTCGTGGATTCAATCGCTGGTGGCCTCATGAGTCAGTGCTGTGGAAGAGTACCAAGTTGATGGTCCAGTCCTGCATGGTTTCCAGTGGTTCTCTAACTGATATCGACTAGTGACACTTAAAAATTAAAACATTAATAATAAACACTGCTGGTAGGGGGATGTTCGTTATTTCTATATGATATGTCAATGAGAATACTAATGCTGAGACAACACGATCTATTCGTGGATAAGAGGCGTTCAGTTGTAAACAGAGACGAACTAACATGTCTAAGGGTAATATCTATCATGGATTGGAATCATTTAGACAACCGTAGAAAATCAAGAAGCACCAGTCAGATATTATAGCCCCACTCGTGGTCATTTATCGCCAACCAGTAATTGCATCCAACAACAAGTCTGTAACATGCTGTCCATAACATTGAATGTCGATGGTATTATGTGTATGGAACTGTTAGCATTCGAGAACTATGTGCCTTTGAATTCGAACTGGGTGAGACAGTGTTCACATCTTCATTATAACAACTGAGTGAATCGATTCGTAGACGAGTAAAGCAAACACAACCTGATTCTTATCGTTTACAACTCAGGTGAGGATTGAAAATAGTGGTGAGCCAAGCAGGTTTTCTCATTAGAATTATTCACATGTACTATTCATGAAGATTATTAACTCACCCGTGACTCTCTTCGCATCAGATGTAAGTTTCAAAACTTCTTCAATTAAATTGGCGACATTTTCAAAGTCTTTGTTTAAGAAACCTCGTGATGTCAGAGCTGGCGTGCCTATAGACAGGGTACAGATAAACCAGAGGAATGGTAAACTGCAAGACGAAATTGTGTTATGGTGAGTTACATTCCGAAGTATAGGAATAACCAGAATAGTACCTTCTTGCAGTGGATAGAATTTATGCATTCAACGGGTAAGAATACTACCGAGAAAATTAGTGTGCTACTTCCACAGTATGTAAAATTATTATCAGAAATCAGTACACTTCGAATTTTCAGTGTACATTACTTTGATGAATTTGTGTATTCGCCTCATTGCACATTGTGGTCTGTGGTAATTCTGAAATATATATATATATATATCGGTGGTGCATCGGTGGTTTAAAAATGTGATGCACTGGCTGTCTGATGTACTCCTAAACTTCGCCTAGCTTATCAAATGGTGATAGGCCGGTAAAGGGAGAGGGGGAGGTAGAGGACTGACGCTATCAAATCCAACCCCTAAATATAAAACTCTTGCTTCAAAATCTTCAAGCCCGAAGCCCTATGTCCTACTTGGAACGCATGAGATATATATATATATATATATATATACATCGAAGGAAATAACGATATACTGACTCCAAGAAATCCACATTACGAAGAGAAAAAAGTGCTGTGTTAAAAGAATATAAATGTTTTATTACTTTCAAATTAAAATGAATCTATCATATGAAGAGCCACTTCAGTAAGTTATACTACTTCATTGTCAAATTATTTTCCAACTTAAGAATGAACAGTGAGCATAATTTAAGCATTTGCATGATATCAGAGGCAAGATAGGGATTCAGTTTTGTGAAATCAGTGTGGGAAGTAACCGAACTCAACACAAGCAGTCAAGGCCCAGATCTTCTACAATAATGTCAAGTCGGTGATTCTATACGCCTCAGAGACTTGGCAGTTGTGTCACTACTAGCATTTCGAACAACTTGTCTCTGTATCCAATGGATACAGAAGATGAGATAGCCGACTGGAAAGGATAAGTAACGAGAAACTCTGACAATGCTACAAACCAACTGAGAACCTATCGTGCGACAAATGTGCAAAAGAAACTATGCATGAATCATGCATATACTGAGTAGACCGTTGATTGATATCACATGCCAGGAGAGATATCAAATGGAACCTGGATGGGAGACGAGTGGTTAGCCGTCATCGCGATGGCAACATGGACGGTATCTTGTGAAGAAGACGTGAAAGTGCATGGGAAATTGTGCAGCCAGGTAAAAGAGACTTCACAGAGGAGAGTGAAGTGACAATGTACTTCCGAAGCCCAATATTCCACCTGGAACACACGGAGATAATAATACTAGTAATACTAATTATTTAAGTAAGAGATTAAACAAAACCTGACATTTTGACGATTAAACCTAGTTGTTACGTATATAAATTCCTTCAAGGAATGGCTTTTGCGTTCCGTTTACGTCCGAATGGAACACAGGGCTTCAAGCTCCATCTCTGAATTGTCAGTGACGGCGATATTTGTTTTTTACATGATGTGGCCCCTAGCCTCACACCCAACATTCCTCATTCACCGGGCTTACCACCGACAGGCAGAGGTTAATGAGTACACTGACCAGAAGTCGAACCCAGACCATGTACATGAATGGATATCGGGCGTTCTGTCAATGAACCACGGACAAAAATCTCTCAAGGAATAATGAGTTAATGAGTACTTGTTAGATTTAAACTAGGGTTTCAACGCCAGAATACCACATACTGCTGATCAATCGACTAACATTCGAACACTTAGAAAACACAAAAGGCTGATGTTGTTATGGACGATTTTGATTACTGCATTGTTTCAATGCGTACTATGGTTTGTTAGCGTTTCCAACAAAAGTATTAGAAATAATCCTGTCAAATTCAAATTCTTAGATATCGCCCTCACTTTGCTGTTGTTTGGTTTCCTGTGATTTGTTCAGTGAGTAATACAATTCCAAATAACGACAAGAGATGACATGGAAGATCAATAGTTATTTTTTCTTGTAAAAATGGAATACCACTGGGAACTACAACTACTTGTGTTAGTTATTTTACATAACTAATTAATCACTGATTTACAATGTAAGAAACAATGTTGTGACAGGTTAACGTGTACCGATAGAAATCCACAGATATGAACATCGATCTGCATTAGGGTTGAGGTTCTGATATACCGTTCGTTTAGGAGAAATGAATCCCAATGCTGTCCCATTCTGATTTTAATTCTCTCAAGGAATCATGCATAAATATTTCTGAAGTTACAAAGTGGGTGAGTATGACGATTTGTGCCAAATGAATGTGAGTGAGTGTGACAGACAATGGAATATTCATTGAAAGAATCATGCAGCTGAAAATTGAATCTGAGGATAATTCACTGAAATACTGGCTCTAACCACTCAATATCAATAAAGTGAATTGCAAATTTGGAAACTCCCCTTGAACTATCTAATCAAAATATTTATACTCATCTGGATGCTCCAAGTAACTGTACAGTTATTATCCGTTTCACTCCTAGATTGTGTATCAATCACTATATTGACATTCACATATCGTGTGTTCACTTGACACTCATTATTTGTCTTTTTCCTTGTTCAATCTCACATTTCAATACTTCTCTTTGAAGTTGTTGAGATGCATCAATGATGTGTTGTTTTACGACGTGATTTTGTTTGAGTGAATCAGGGTTGATTCTGACATTGGACTGTGTGTGGTTGGCGTTGGTGTGTGATTCTCGTGGATAGAGTGTTTGATCCCACCTTGTTTGGAATATTGTGCCTGATTCTCAGGTAGTAAATTACGTTGAATTTTGGTTGACTGATTTTGACCTGCAGTACTCGTTTTGTATCTGGAAAATTTCTTTGTCTGTGTGTATATTTGCCTTACTGTACTCTTGAGGTATCTTTGATATTTGATATCAGAGTGGTTGTATAGAACTACATACATCTGTCGATGAATATCCATCACTTCGACATATTTGGGGTGTTTTATGATTGTGAGTGTGTAGGGGACTAATATTAGAGTTCACTAACATTCCAAGTATAAAAGTAATAATCCAAGTCAGTGGAGTGTTAAATCACAATATATTACCAAAAATACAGTGACGAGTTATAGCAACAAAAAGGATTACTTGAAGATAACGTCTAAGTCCTCGGCTACAAATTAATTATATAATCCACAGGCACGTTAATTGTTTGGACTGCGTCTGCTGTAGCTGCTGTGTTCCGGTTGTAGAAATGTCTTCGGTTGAGAGTAGTAGGCTCCTACAATAAATCCGAAGTATACAACACGGTGTGAGTGGAGCAAGTAAGCAGAAGTGACCAGGGAGAAGACGAAGTCTCCAACAGCAGAGTGTATTTTTCAATTGTACACGGAAGTTATGTATATTTCAACAAGAAGCGTTTTAAACAAAAATTATGTACAATATCTCGAATTTATACAAGTAACCAAAAAGTGTACAATCACATTGTTACGTACTCAACACGGCTCCCCCCTAGAGGTCCGGAGAGACAACCGGGAAATGATAAGTAAAACTATGAAGTAAATAATAATAGTAATAGCAACTTTTGGATAAAAATAGGGATATATTACAACATGCATAAACGCGAGAAGGTATGTGAGTCATGTAAAGTCTGAAAGCATATACAATTGGTTCAGCAATAAAAATTGAAAGAGAAAGTCATGTCACTTAAATTTGCACTAACCATGAACATAGATTTTTAATGTATAAAGAAAAATATGTAAATACACAGTAATTAAGGAGGGGAAAGAAACATTTAAAAAAATATGGATTAAAGATCAATAGTTTTTGGAAAGGACACTACCTGTTTTTTCGGTGAGGTACATATAAATAAATAATAGTGATAGTAACATCAAAGTTTACGACGAAATACTAACCGTCATGATGATAATGTCTAAACGAAAAAGATAATAATAATTTTTAATTATTTTTCTTTTGTTAGTCCTCAAAATGAACGTAGCGAGCCGGTTTACTGATTTGCCGACCACTACGTGTGTGATATGGAGGGAGGATAAGACTTGGTGCCGGTGGAGGGGATTCGGATGTTTGATTATTTGATTGCGCAGCTGCCGATGTAGATTCGAAGTCGTTGTCGGTGTATGCGGGTTTGATTCGATCAATTGAAACAGTCTCTCGTCTTCCATTCTTGTTCACTGTAAAGTGTTTGTCTGAACGTTTAATAACTTGAAAGGGTCCTTCGTATGGAGGTTGCAATCCTTTTCTGATGGCGTCGACTCGAATGAAGACGAATTTGCAAGTTTGTAGATGTTTGTTGATCTGATCTCTTCGGGGAGATTGTCGAGGTGCTGTTGGTTGAAGTTGAAGCATTTGTCTAGTTAATCGGTTAGTGAAGTCGGCAATGTTCACGTCTGTGGAATCGGCTGAGGGGACTAGCTGTCCAGGCAAGGTTAGGTTGGTGCCATAGACAAGTTGAGCCGGTGTACATCCTAAATCTTCTTTGATAGTAGAACGGATACCAAGTAAAATCAAAGGTAAGTATTCACTCCACTTAGATGTATCATTCTGCGCCATCAGGGAGCTTTTCAGTTGTCTGTGGAATCTTTCCACTAGACCATTCGCTGCCGGATGATAGGCTGTTGTGGAGATATGTTTCACTCCCAGAAGTCTCGTCAGTTCGCGAAAGAGTGTCGATTGGAATTGAGGACCGCGGTCGGATGTAATAGTAGTTGGTACACCGTAGTTTGACACCCAACGGTCGAGAAAAACTAAAGCAACGTTTTCAGCAGATATGTCGTTTAAGGGGCATGCAATAGCCCAACGAGTAAATCTATCAATCGCTGTCAGGATATGTGTATATCCCCTTGATGTTGGCAATGGTCCCACGATATCTATATGGATATGCTGAAATCTCCTTTCGGGTAATTTAAACGTCTTCGGGGTTGTAATAGTGTGGCGGTGTACTTTGGAGCATTGGCATTGGATACATTCTCGTGCCCATCTCCGAATGTCAGAGTTCATTTTAGGCCACACGAAGCGTTCGCCGATCAGCCTGACCGTGGCGCGTACTCCAGGGTGGGAAAGCGAATGTAAATGTTCGAACAATGCTTTTCGGCAACTGAGAGGGACAAATGGACGATTAGTGCCGGTAGATACATCGCAGACTATGGTTGCATCCGATAAGGGGATAGGCACATCTTTGAGTTGTAAGGAAGAGTTTCTGCGGCAGGTTTGGAGTTCAACGTCATCTTTTTGTAATTGAGCCATACGATCAAGACTGATGTCTACCGACGTTTGGAGCTGGTTAATGTCACTTCTTGAAAGAGAATCGGCTACCACGTTCGCATCCCCTTTGATGTACTGAATGTCGGTTGAAAATTGGGAGATATAATCCAACTGTCTGGCTTCTCTAGGGGAGTGTTTATCAAGTGAAGTAGTGAAAGCATGACACAGGGGCTTGTGGTCAGTAAAAATAGTGAAATGCCGGCCCTGTAGTAAGTAACTGAAATGCTTCACTGCAAGATATATGGCCAGCAATTCTCTCCCAAAAGTGCTGTATCGTGTCTGAGCCGGTTCCAACTTCTTAGAAAAGAATGCGAGTGGGGTGACTTCGCCCTTCATCTTTTGTTGTAATACTGCCCCCACTGCTACCTGTGATGCATCTGTACATAAAATGAGTGAAGCTTCTGGGTTGATGTGAGATAACATTACGACGTTGGATAAGGCATCTTTTGCATTATTAAATGCTGCTTTTGCTTCTTCAGACCACTGAAATTTCTTCGAATTGCATCTAAGTAGGTCGGTCAGTGGCTGAACTATGGAGGCACATGATGGAATAAAACGTCGGTAGAAGTTGAACATCCCGAGAAAACGTCTAAGTTTCTTTAAGGAATCAGGTTCGGGAAAGTTCTTAATAGTTTCTATCTTATCTTCGGTAGGTCTGATGCCTTCGGCAGTTATTCGATGTCCTAAGAATTCAATGGAAGGGGAACCAAAAATACATTTCTTTGGATTGATAACAACTCCAAATTGTTCAAACCTTTGAAATAACAAGCTTAAGTGTTGCATATGTTCTTCCGTCGATGAGCTGGCAATTAAGACATCGTCGATATATACAAAGACGAAATCAAGACCTTGGGTAACTTGGTCCATAAAACGTTGAAATGTTTGAGCAGCATTCTTTAGTCCGAAAGGCATTCTCAAGAATTCGAATAATCCAAAAGGCGTAATAATTGCTGTTTTTGCAATGTCTTCTGGAGCGACTGGTATTTGATGATATGCCCTCACCAAGTCAACTTTAGTAAAAATGGTCTTTCCATGTAAGGTCAAGGAGAAGTCGTGGAGATGAGGTATAGGATAACGATCTGGTACCGTAGCGTTATTCAAAGCGCGATAATCTCCACATGGTCGCCAGTCATGATTAGTTTTAGGTACCATGTGCAGAGGTGAAGACCATGGGCTGTTAGATGGTCGTATGATACCTAACTGCATCATATGTTCAAATTCCGACTTAGCTGCTGCTAGTTTATCGGGTGGTAACCGTCGTGGACGTGCCTTCACAGGTTGTCCTGTTGTGATGATTTTATGCGTAACTGTATGAGATATATCTTCGACATTGTATGATGGTTTAAGGATTTTAGGAAATCGTTGCAATAAAGCAGAGAACATTTCACTCTCCGGCTTTTCTATGCAGATGCTATGAACAGAGTAGTCGCATGTAATACCATGGATCTTGAGTTGGGTGCAATTGTCAACCAGTTTTTTCTTGCTGATATCAACCAACAGATTGAAGTGACTTAGAAAGTCTGCACCTAGTATAGCGTGACGTACGTCAGCTACTATGAAGATCCATGTGAAACGTCGGCGTAGTCCCAAATTTAAAATCATTGACTGTTCGCCATACGTCTGTATGTTGGTTTGGTTGGCAGCACGGAGTGAAAGTTTTCCAGGTATTTTGGCTGATCGCCTGGATAGTGAGGGGGGGATAACACTGACCTCGGCGCCTGTATCTACCAGGAATAATGTGCCGGTAGTCAAATCCCTCACATAAAAAAGGCGACTGTGGTGATTGCCAGTAACAGCTGTCGCCATCACTGTCTGGCTGAGGCGTTTCCCTGAGCCTGGTTGGCTTCGCTAAAGCTGCACGGTTTTACACATTTCAGGGCATGACGTCCAAACTTCCAGTGATACCAGCATATATTGCTATCCCGAGAAGACGTGTAAGAACGCTGTCGTGAGAAGGATCGTCGTCGTGATGGTGACCTTCTCTGTGAGCTCCGCCTCCGGACTTGTCGATCAGACTTATTAGTTTCCAAATTGTCAATCCTTGCCGCTAAGTCTGCAATGGCGGCGAGTATCGGTGTGTCTGCCGTGGGTGTGGAATGACACGGTGTGGCACTATCAGATGCTACGTGACTTATGGTGTTATCAGATAAAACATCCATAATACTATCTGCCATGTCACTTAGTTGGTCTAAGTCATACGACTTTCCTGAGATGATTAAAATTTGCTGGACATTTCTAGGTAAACGTTGCAACCACATCTGTTTCAGCACGACCTCGTCTACTTTATGATTTCCGATTAACTGGCGCATGTGCCTGAGCAGCTGGGATGGTTTACGTGGGCCTAGATCACAGCCTGTGAGCAATTGTTGGATTCTTTTCTCATCCGACAAACTGGTACGTTGTATGAGGAGGGCTTTAAGTTTATCAAATTGATGTTCCGTCGGAGGATCTTCGATGAAATCGCTGATTTCTGTCAATACTGACGGAGGGAGTTCTGCCAGCACCATACCATATTTGGCTATTTGGGACTTAATGCCCCGTGCTTCTAGCAACGGTTCAATTACCGCAAACCAAATCCTTGGTTCTGCGAAACCGTATTGGGGTAAACGAAAATCAGTGATGGCATTTATTGTGGCGTTTGTCTCGCTATTAGTTGTCTGCTCATTTGATGTACCGGACTGAGGTGATGACATTATGAATATGGGGTTATTGGTACAAATTAGGATACAAATATAAACCACACACAAAATCACAATGAATATACAAAATAGCAAAAATAAGAATATGAATATGCCAAAATAATCCGTGTTCTTATCGGGCTCACCAATTAATTTGTAGGGGACTAATATTAGAGTTCACTAACATTCCAAGTATAAAAGTAATAATCCAAGTCAGTGGAGTGTTAAATCACAATATATTACCAAAAATACAGTGACGAGTTATAGCAACAAAAAGGATTACTTGGTGATAACGTATAAGTCCTCGGCTACAAATTAATTATATAATCCACAGGCACGTTAATTGTTTGGACTGCGTCTGCTGTAGCTGCTGTGTTCCGGTTGTAGAAATGTCTTCGGTTGAGAGTAGTAGGCTCCTACAATAAATCCGAAGTATACAACACGGTGTGAGTGGAGCAAGTAAGCAGAAGTGACCAGGGAGAAGACGAAGTCTCCAACAGCAGAGTGTATTTTTCAATTGTACACGGAAGTTATGTATATTTCAACAAGAAGCGTTTTAAACAAAAATTATGTACAATATCTCGAATTTATACAAGTAACCAAAAAGTGTACAATCACATTGTTACGTACTCAACAAGTGTCTCAGAGAAGTTTCGGACAGCTATACAGCTGGACGCATAGATGGGTTTCCTTCATTCAGATGGCAACCAGTCAGTTTTGGTTGTTTTAATCAATGCGAAATGCACTATAGTGCAATGTGCCTTAACTTGGTGATCTAAATGCAAGTCGACTGATGCGATTTATTTAACATGAATGATATTAGAACAAGAAGCTCGCTACTCCCTAATGAATTGTGACAAATGCGTCATTAACGACATTTACGAATAATGTTAGAAGGACGAGTGCTGGTGATAAGTTGTCCAATCGATGGTTATGGTGTATTACATCCTTACAATTACGTTTATGTCATCATTTTACTCAAAAACGTCTGATAAATAACTAGTGGAGAATTCAAAATATTATAAATATTTAGACATTTCTCCGACTGAGAAATAACCTATCTCTTAGAATTGTATTTTGATTCTTCAGATCAATTTGCACAAACTGTGAAATCAACCAAAGTTTTCGGGAGATAAGTCTTAAGTCAGATAACGGAGGGATTTTTTGCGATTCCACATTACTGCGGTGCTGATAGACGGTCAATTTTGAATATTAGTAGTTTGTTGATCAATAAAGTGTTCTTATGGCATCCCACTTTAATTATTTTAAAATAAACTCAGTGTGTAATGTAAATGGGATGAATACTTCATGGGAGATTAAACTGAAAGCTAAGAAAACTTATGGAGGTTGTAGGTATAAGTTAGTAGTTCACTGATCACTCACGAAATTCATTCACTAATTCATATAACTTCAGGCTTAATACTGCAAATTAATCAGGATACGCATATCCGTCTGTATAATAACTTTTTCTTTAGAACTCAGTGTGTGCCGCAATACAGATTTAACTCGAACGTGTTTAGCCAATCACTAGCCTATCTCTCCTCAAGAATCATAAAATCATACAATGCTCTGATATACCATTTATGAAGACATTTCAAATCCTTGCAGGTACGTCCAGCTGACGAGTCTCAATTTGGATGCGAAATGTGCTGCCTAGGTTCCACTGCTAGTTAATTCTACACCGAAATTAGTCAACCAGTCACTGTACTAAATGTTCACTTAGAATGTCATTCTTCTAAAGTTCAACTATGTTACAGTAATTGTAAGGCAATCGATACTTCGAAGCGATTTGTATTACTGACTGTGTCATTATAAACTGTTCAGTAACTCATTGTTCCATGATAAGTATACTGACATGTAGAAACTAGGTCATAATCTGACTTGTATTTCCATTGTTTGCATTCCGAGTAAAATATGTGTTTTCAGGATTTATGCTTTGAAGTTTCAGTGGTAGCAGTGGCGTTGTCAATCAGGTTAGATGAATACAATTAACAAAGACAGTGCAAATACAAATAAACAACCTACCGTTGATTGGGATAACCTTCAGCATATTTATTAGTCAAACAGCTTCCATTGCATTCCAATACAGCACGACTTGTGAAATTCTATTACATTGTTGCAAGACAGGAAACAAAGAGTGCAGTTATGTGTAGTTTTGATGAAGATTTGAAAGAGGGGGCAAAAGTTGATTAAATATTGTATGAAAGAATTAGGTGTTTACCTCAGAAGCAACCAATTCCAGATATGACATTTGACGTTGTTTTTCTGCATTTATAAGCTCCCACATTTCTGGATCTGTATCTTTCAGGAGTTGGTTACTTGCAGACAGGAAGGTTGAAGACTCCTTCAAAATATGGTTGATAAGGATATTCAATAGAAACCTACTTCCTTGTCTGCCACTGAACTAAAACTCATTTGAGTTCGATAGCTGATAACATTTGAATTAGTTAGTGTTTTCAAAACTCTGGTTCGGTACAATGATTCCATACATTTTCTGGAAGAATTAGTCACAGTATTGAACATGGTTTGTTAATTTGACTTTTGTTATAACGGATTTTTAGATCAGCTTCCCAGATTGAATTTCACTTTCGTCAGTTAGTCTGAAGTTAAAGTTTATGCACATTTCAGTTAATAGATGTTAGAATACGATCTTATGTCAATAAAACCATGGCTTTCGTCTGAATAATAAATTCAAGATGTTGCTTATATATCACTAATAAACACCTTTACAAAATATAGTGGCAACCTTCAAATTTATCAACTTAGATTTACATCTACATCAGAGAATACCTGTTTGAGGATTCATAAATTGCATTCGCAAAAGCATAATTGTACAAAGGTGCAAAATTCATGATTTATACCAAAACACAGTACATTCACTGAGATCAAGGAAGGCACTTCCACATCACTTCAAGTAAGTAAAAAGTACTGATGACTGCGTGTTTCTTTAAATACGGATTTAAACTTAATTGCAGTCATGCTAGGTTGGCAGCATTTTGATGAAGAAGAAAGGGTTGCATTCGTCCCATAATTTTAGGATTTCATGAAAGCGAAGTTGCATCACATGTCGTAAACTGTCATCCATGCCTTCATCGACAATGTGAGTCTAAGATTTTCAAACTGAAATCAATTTGTCTAGATGCACCCCAACCACTATCAAGGGAACAAACTTGACGGAGGTCATTTCCTTCACATCCAACACCGTGGATGAGGATGTCATAGTCAGTCGTGCTCAAGAAGCTGAGATAGACATTCACAAATCTGAAGTCGGTTTGAAAATCTCCTGCACTCGATCGATAGACCACAATTCTTGTGGAATCCAAATGGGAAACGATGAGTTGGGTGATAGGTGGTGACACATAGAAGACCATGTGAGGAGGGGGTGAGAGTGTACGGTCGATCATGTGACCAGCTGAAGAGGAGCTGAAGAGAACAGTACAAAGTAGGGGTGTGCTGTCGAAACACCATGTTCCACAAGGAACCCTGAATGAAAACAATGATGAAGTAAACAGGAGACGCCACACCAAATGACACAATCTAGTGTCACCTACTTGCCAGATCTAACTAACTGGAAGTAAAAATAACAACGGCAAACAGAAAACCATTTAGAGGAGTTAATAGGCGGCAAATGAGAGAAGCACTGTATTGTTAATCAATAAAACACTGTCGAAAACCTAATCCTCACAGATTTGACTGATGCTACTTAAAAATAAGCATTTGAGGCTAAAGTAATAGAAAGAAAGATTAGATATTAGTACAAAGGCTAAACTCAGGGAGCTTTCACACTTGGAATGTCATACTTTATGAGAAGCAGTGACTATAAATGGATAATTTGTGTGACTCAAACGGAAACATGAGGTTATTTCGATGGAGTTATCAACACTAAATGACATGTGGACATATAATTCAATTGATAATACTGCATCAAATCTCTTAGGGTGAATATAGTAGGCATTTCACAACTTTCGACTGTAATTGTATCTCAAATCTTCCTTTTCTGCCAAGAAGCAGGATTTGGGTGGTGACCATATTCACTAACAGCTACACATTAAGTCGAAGAGTATCGTCGTTTCTGAATCCCACCTAGAAAAAGTATTTTCTCTGAAGGTCTGAAGATGAATAGATATTTCACCCATAAACACTCGATGTTGTGAAGTATTTTATTGGTTGAAGTAGCACGCATAATGTTATATCACCTGAAGCCTACAGTAAAGGTTAATCCACATACTCTGGTAAATTTAACTGATGCATCCAGAATCCAAAACAACAGCTACTTGTGTCTCGAAGCCATTGAAAATATTGTAAGTGACTAAAACTGAAATTCTAAATAATGCCGTCTCAAATAGCTGCAATCATTTAATTCATAATTTGGTATGTTGCGACTTCTGTTATTGGAAAACTGATCAATGTTAGCATTTACATACCATGTGGAACTGGAACTCTGCAGTACTATTCAATATAAAACTGGCTTTCAACTTAAAAATATGTTTAGAGTCAGTTACTCAATATAACTGAGTAAAATATAGTATAAAATAATACTTTCACCTCAAAACCGACTTACTATCTGCTTTATTATTACTCTGTGTCAAACCCGGTAGACACTACTTCAAATGTATACCTTGACTATATCTGACTGCGTGAAAATAATGTAGAACCAAACAGCCTCAGAATGCCTAAGCTTTCAAAACTGTCTCATGAAAAACTTGTGCCAGCAACCTCGACGGGCGAGGCGACAAGTTTTATCGATTTATAAAGTGATATTATTTATACGGACAACGCTTGTTTTCCTTTCATTTAAAACATTAACTGGGAAAACTAATGCCACTTTCGTTACTGTGCTCCAGGCTATCTGGAATCGGGCCCAACTGTGATTAGAAGTGAATTTCTCATTACATTTATGTCATATGTGACGGTACTTAAGCGATCATATTTGGCAAAAATACAACGATTCTCTGCAGCCCACTTAAAGCTTCAAACCGAAGATCAACTGGGATCGAATTAATGGTCTGATTTACAAGTCAACTAAGATGACAAACCCAGAGTGGCCTTCGAGTTAAGCCTCAGTGAAAGGCGGTTTTCACACCCCTCTATTTTTATTGTGAATTAACAAAGATTTGAATGTCAGGTTCACCTCATAAATCACGAGAGTTCTTGGCTGACTGCTGTTCGACTCATACCAAGTAGACAGAGCATTAGAAAGTAACATATAAACAAATTTGAATAATAATACACTGTCTCAAACTGATAAAACGAAAATGTACAGTAACAGATAACATGAAGTATTCGAAGAGAGATTAAGATCGCCCTATATGATAAACTTCTGTCTAAGTAATTTCAGGAATTTCATGAAGATTCAGCAATCAGATTTTATGATTCATGTGTTACACGTTAAGTATAGAATAGTGTTGAGTAGCTGACAAACCTTCTAATCTACTATTCGGATAAAAGGATGAGCCACGAATTTTTATTGTTAGAATTTTCACAGGAGTCATACATTGCTTTATGGATGATATAATAAATGGATGAAGATATATGATTTAGTAGAGCCTACAAACTGGAATTTAGGCGGGGTGTTTCATGTTAACTTGCATATGTGTTAACATGTTAACATGCATATGTGTTGGAGGGATGATGTGACTTCAAAAGAATTCCCAGACTATTGATGGTTATGAGTTCAGATAATAATAATAATAATATATTCTCATTTTTTACATGAGGGACGCCAGTTTACAGGCATCATCAATTCGATAGTAATAATAATGTATATTCTCATATAAACATATAAATTTACATGAAAATGCATGCCATTTTTACAGGCACGATCAAGAATGATATAATATCAAATCGTAGATTGTCTACAAGTTAATAATGTTTCAACAGTTAAATATTTGATATATATATAAATACACTCATTGTCTGAACTAGGCTGTATAGTTATCGAATTGTACAATTGTCCTCCAGGTTGAGCGGGAAAATGGACTTCGTTTTGTTTTCATCCCGTGGTTGTCGGCATACGACAAACAACCAATATTGAGGTAAGTACAACGTTTACAAGGGATTGAAGTCTGTTTTAGAAAAATTAAAGTGCTGAGGTGAATCATTAACTTGTAATGAAATAGGTAAGTGCAAGTATCATTAATAAATGCATTTATAAAGGAAACTCCCCAGGCTGACAACGTTCATTTGCAATGTATAATGCTACACGTATATCTCGTACTGTCATGATGTCCACTTTTGGTTTTGATATATTTTTTTCCTTATGCCGATTTTTTTATGTTTTATGCCTTTTTGTGCATTTGGTGCACAACCGTACCCTACAGAGAAAAGGAATAGAATAAGTGTAATCAAATTCATAAAGAGCTATAAAATGTTAGGTTTAATGGAATATAGTGAGGATCAAGTAAAGACGTTATTAGAAAATAAATGAGATGAGACATTGTGAGGTGGTATTTAAAGATCCGACAATGGACAGCAAGTTAGTTTATAAGATGCTCCATAAATCTGTGCAGAGCCCACATGGTCGCATCTCAACAATAGGCTGAGTGAATGGTATGTATTTAAAGGCAGAAGCATGATCTGTCAAGGCGTTCATTATTATCTTTTTCAAGATAAAGATCTAAGCCCTCATAAAAATCAGAAATATCTCGAGCCTTCAAATGGCGTAGTGCTGTTCCTGCAGAATGGGGCGATTCACCTTAGTGACTCCCACCATATTTACTGATCAGCTAGCGCCACCCTCCCTCCTTTTTTGATGTTAGGCTCTGAGACTATGATTATTATGGTTACCGCAAATATACTGCTTGGTACCAGACATGTTCGTACCTCATATTCCATCTCCATAGCTTTCTAAATGAGTGCTTCCAATAGGTCTCCACATACATCTTTATGAACATATTATATGTGTGCATGTGTCCTAATGAACAGATTACTTTATAAGAAGTTAAAACCTTAAAGAGTAAAAGGATTAGGTTTTGTGAATAGTGGAGCACGATTCAGCAGAATAATATAGTTAGGGATTAATGTGGGTAGTATGAACTGAAGGTAAGGTCGTTTGGCAGGACTTAGTGTACTAAATTATCATGACAGTCTTATATATAGTCAACATTTGACATTGCAAAGTAACCTGTCCACATATATTATAAAAAGATATTAACAGAACCAACAAAATTTCAGCATTTGGTTAACAATACTACAGAAGGGTAGTTAGTACTACAGGTAGTCGTAAAGTAAATCAATCTATGTATAATAAGAGCATAATCAGTGTCATAATTCGTATTATCAAAGAATACATTAGGCTCAATAACTGAGTGTTATAAGGGAAATAAGAGCGGTAAACCAAGAGAACATTTGCCGCATAAGTATTTTAATCATTTTAAGTATTTTAATGACAATCTAATTTCAAGTATTGAACCTACATAATTACTAAGTATTATTATGTTAGTCTGGAAACCAGTGTACTTTCTGTAGTTAAATATTGAAATGCCATTGTCTCTCCACTCTACCAGCAGTTGAAATCTTTGAGG